GGTAGTTACATTGGAAACTCCAGCCACCAAGCCAAACCAATGGGGGGCAAGGAGACGGTGATGGGTTGCCTGCGCTCGCGCGAGGCGTGCGGGTCCCAGATGACAAGCCTGGGGCCTTCCCGATGCGGCAGCTGAGGACTGCCATCGGAGGGGAAGCCGAGAGTTCCGGAGATGCTGAGGCCAAGCCCGGAACAAGGCCCCTGACGGACTGTCAGACCATTGCATACAACGCATCATTTTTGCCATGCATTGTGCATTGTGTGTTTGATTTCCCATCATTTCCCAAGTGAAGGGAACAAGAAATCCAGGAACCCCCCCTTGACTTGACGCACCGTATTTTTTCGTTTTTGCGGCAAGGACTCCAGGATCCTGCCTGATGTACTGTGATTTGCAATGTTTTTTTTTGCGAGTTGCTACGGGGAATGCCCTCTAATTCAAGTGCTACAGAAGTCATGGGCACCTTTGGTATCGCAGAAAGGGTCATGTTATTTTCCACAACTCTAGTCTTTCGTGGCGGGGGTCTCCTCCAAAAACCATATGTTGGTGTTGGCGAAATGTGAAATAGAACCCTAGGTCCCCCAGTAGTGCCCTTTTACCCGTTTTTTGGGGGGAGGGTTCCCCTACTAAAATAGACTACAGAAAAAAGGGTACCCTTATTCTAACCTCTCTACTGGAGGACCTAGAACCGGAAAAACATGATTTTATGACCTCAGATCAGTGGCCAAGATTGCCGAGTCCGAACCATCTCCCTCAATGCTATCCGCCTTGCCGTCAGCTGGGCTCTTCCAGCAGCCAATTGAAAGGCTCTTTGAGGGCTTGCCATTGGCGGGCCTCTTTTGGGACCCGTTTCAGGGTCCGGCAGTTCAAACTGCTCGTTCTGAGCCTTTAAAACATGAAACAAGGACTAAGGATAGGACATTGGTGAACGCTTTCCTCTGGTTTACCAGGTGCCAACTTTCCATTACGCCATTTGATCTACTCCGAATAGAGTTGCCCTGAAGTTCAACCAAGTGGTTCAGGATTTGGGTAGGTGTCCAAATAGGGATTTGGACCCTCCCAAAAAACGGTTTGCAGTTTTCCTTCCCCGTTTAAACCAAGGTGAACAGGGTGCACCATGTTTGGACAGAACGTCTCCGCAGGTGCGCAGTGGCACTCTTGGAAGGCTTACCCTCGCCAAAGAAATGCCCTTGACGTGCCTATGGGAGACTCGCGCGTCTTTGGTTCCAACGAAATATGACCCTGGACCCTGACAAAACCGCCAATCGGTGCAGGGAATATATCCACAATCCCTTACCCGTTGGTCTACTCAGTTCCGGGACGAAAAGGGCAAAGGACCAACCCCATCCGCTGGCAGTTTCGTGGTCCAGTTTGGCAATTTCGCCGACTGCAACCCAACCATTCAAGTTCGGCCCATTTTTCGGTCGAAGGTCCTTCGGGGCGATCGCTTGATGCGGAACCGGAAACCGGGTCTCAAGAATCGACCGATTCGGACATATGGGTACGGGTCAAAAGAAAACCACCATAGGAAATGTACCGCAGGTTAAATCGTCCATGTTTCCATTTACCAGGGTTCCATTTTGGGTACCTATTGTTGACCCACAGCCATGTCTCGAATTTCAGCAGGCCAAGCCCCAACAACGGCTGGATACCGCGAAAATGAGGTCCACCCAAATTTCCCATGTCCAACTTGCCTCTCGCTGGCCGGTTCCGAGAGTTCCCCTTCTCTTGCCAGGAAGGCGAAGAACCTTTACGGGAAGATGGTGTGGCAGGAGACCTTCACCCCGAAGAAGACCTTGTCCGTGATGATCTCCGCAGGATCGATGCACTCGGCTCCGGTCGGGGCCAGCCAATGGTTGCTGATAGGTAAGTTGAGTGGAGTGGGCTTCTGGCGAGAGCATGGCTTATGTTGGCGTGGGCTTGTGTTGAGATGAGCTGGGGTGAACTTAGCTACTCAGTTGAGACCGAGGCTGTTGACCGGGTCGTACCTGCCGGATTTGGACGGAGCCAACAACATTGAAGATTGAAGTTCGTAAAACAAAAACAATCCCCACAAAGGGAACCCTGCGAAAGATCTCCCCCCACCCCAAATCTCGCTTTCCGGCCTAGCCAGGAGAATATTCGACCTGCGCCCCACACATCGCTGTCGTTTTGACGGATCTATTGTCTTTGCTTGCAGCAGAGATATTGGTTGTTAATTACTTGCAACTCCCGGAGGATACGTATCTCTATGACTCTTAAACAATTGGGCAAAGTGCCCGTTAATTTGAGGCAGTGACTCCATTGTTTAAGGATGCAAAAAGGATTCCCCAGAATATGCGGGTGTGTACGTGCGACTGCTTCCGGGTCAAACAGAATGGCCGATGCAAATAAGAAGGAGAAGAAGATGAAGAAGAAGAAGAAAAGCTCTTACCTGCCAAGATCAGCCGTGTTCCTTTTAGCTTTCAAAGGGTGGCTCCATTGGTTCCTTATATGAGCAAATGGAATCTCATTTGGGTCTCTTTCTGGGGTGGTTCCTAGGTTGCCTATAGACCAACTACGATCTTGGGCTGAAATCTCTGAGAACCTCTGATTTTTCCCTCAAACCGCTTGTGCCCGGATTTCGCAAGCAAATTGGGGGTTTCTTGTTCCCCTTGCCATATTTGGGTCATCCATCGTACATGGAGCCTTGCGCTTGGATGAATTGCCCACAAGGCTTAGTGGGTTGGACAGGTGGGAGAAAAGGTCGGACTTCCTGTCATGGTAATGACTTCTACGGTGGGATGCCCTTCAAAACTAGTTGGTAAACACAAATCCCCGTTATTATATAAGGGATTTGCGTCCACCAATCAGTTTGCAGGGGATCCAACCATGTAACTGATGCCGCGGATGCCCACCAAAAGGTTCCTACCCTGGAGGCGCCAGCCCAAGCCCTCCGCCAGACGCAGATGCCCGGGAGCTTGCGGCGGCACCTTGCCATTCCAATAGACAGGCTGGCTCTCAATTGGTTCCCTACACGTGGGGTCCCTATCTAGGTCCCCCAGTAGTGCCATTTTACCCTTTTTGGGGAGGGGCCCCCTACTAAAATTGACTACAGAAAAAAGGGTACCAACCTGGCTCCCTAAATTCGGAGATGTCCTTCTACACAGAGATTTCAAGGAAAAGAGCGTCTTGGCAATCACCCATCTTCCTTTTGGTTTTTAGGGTGGTTCCCTAGATTCCCTCATGGAAATGAAATCTCTCATGCGATTTAAGGGACGGGAACCCTAGAATTTGGAGTTCAGCGCCCAGGTGGTATCGGGACGAGCTTTATTTGGGCAGAGGCCAATCGTGTTTTTCGATGTTGGGGAAAATTTATCGTGCGACCGGTGGATGACCTAAAATATAGCAAGGGGAACAAGGGGCCCTGATGTACCGTATATTGCTACGGTTTCGAGCTTGAGTGCGTGCAGTATGTTGGGCATCTATACCATCCCTCCTGGGTTCCTTGTCAATTTGCAGGGGAGGAAGGTGGGTTCTGTCGGTGCAACCATCAAAGCCAGGGTCGGGCAAAGCATGGTTAAACACTTCTTCTCCTCCAAGGGGTCTCAAAACAGGTTTGCGGGGTCACGACCTTGGGGTCGCTTACTGTAAGCGAGCTCCTGTCGGTTTCGCGCAGGTCGCCAGGCGAATCGTCCCAAGCTTCGGACCATTTTGCAATGAATCCGCCTTGGCCTAGGTGCGATCACTAGCCCATAATTCTTATACTCAAAGGGAAACCAAAAGGGGATGGGGAATGCAAGGGGCCAAGGAGTTCCTATCAGTGTTCCTTCTTGTGTAATAATCATGACGAAAATCGGTTTTAAAGCACCCCACACCCCCATTCTCAGTGGTTTGGCGCTTATATATATATATATACCCCACACCCCCACATCTTTTGATTGCGTATTCAACGCCCAGGTGCTTGATGCTACGGAGGCAGAAGAGCGGTCGCGCGGGCACCTGGCTTTCGCCCGGATAGTGATTCTTGGGCGTTTGTCTTTAAGGTTCCCAGCGATGGTTCCTAGGACTTGGAGACCTTTCGAGCTTGGAGGGAATGACATATCGGGTTTGATGAAAGGCTCCGGTAGTTACATAGGATGACCATGCTATGATACTTCCTGAATGGGAAAAGTCACCCTTGGGGCCGAGTGGAATATTGATCAACCCCCAGATCCTACTGAAAGTTTAGCTGGTAACGACTCTCAGCACACTTAATGCCGACCTTTCAAAAGGTGGCTTGTAACCTTAGCCATGAGGGTTCCTTTCATTGGAGCAGGCTCGTGACTAGTGCATGACAAGTGCATCGTGGACGGTTAGCGGACAACGCCAGACAAGAAGCTCGGTGCGGCCAGAGGCCCTTGGATTATTTTTTTGGCTTGGAGTAAACGGCTGTAATGCCAGGGTGTCATTCTGACTCTGGTGCGACATGCAAGTGAGATTATGTACCACAATGTACCACATTTCCAGGGGAGGGATTGGCCATTCTTTGAGACGGATCCCTGAAGGGAATGGAAGGTACGGCTGGAATCATAGCCTAAGGAACGCTGCAACATCAGCCCTACCTCAGCGGTTACAGCCGTGAAGGGGGGTAGCAAGACCAATCCCCTGAACCGAAGGGAATCTAAAGGCATGTGACCTCCAAAAGTCAGGGGAAGTTTTAGTTTTTTTTTTTCAATTCCAGGCCCTTTGCGCTAGGATCTCCTCCTTTTTTTCTCCCTTTTTTTTTCCTCGTGGAAACCAGCCACCAAAGTGATGACCCTGGCTTGCCACTTTTCCGCTCCTGGAAATCCAGTACCTCCGTTGCTCCAAGAGTCCCCACCTCCCGCGCGATGCCGCCGTTGAGAAATTTTTTGGGGCTGCGGCTTCGGATGCGATCCACCGAATCCCAAGGAGTTGATTCCTGTCCCCTGCCCCTTCCTAGCGAATGGTGCGTATCGTTCCCAGCCTGTGGGTTTTGGCCAGTGAGCCCCCACGTAGATATCTGGGGTAGACTTAGGATACATTTTACATTTTACTGGTGACTCAAAGTGAAGCAAACAATAAAATATACATTCTACAACTGGGCCTAACTCCAATCATGATATTGTGTCCCGGTTCCTGGTATGTGGGTGTGCGGCAACATGCTTGGCCCAAAACGATGGATATTCCTTTGGGCTACCCTTTCAACCCGCCCCCCAAAAGTACCCTCACAAACACGCGCACCGCGTGTTCCCTTCGTTTATGACGACCTCCGGCTGCACCTGTTCTTCCGAATCCCTTTTCGGGGGTAGGGAACCCTCGTCAAACAAGTCAACAAGTCCCGGAAAAAGTGAAACCAAACCACACCAAACCAGACTAAACACGCCAAGCCAACATAGAAATAAATTAAAAGAAAGTCCTTTTCTTGACGCAAAAAGATGATCCACCGGAGGTCAGGGCAAAAAACGACATGTTTGCTGGCATGCCAGGGTTGGGCAAGTTTGCTTGCAGGAATTCGTTTGGCATTTGCTTTCGTCCCAGGTTTCGGGTTTCGTTTCAAAGTGACGGTTTTTAGTTAATCTTTGGATCGAACGAGTGCCATGTTGAGACCAATCGCAACCTGAGAAGGTTTAGTTGGCAAGTTGGGCGCACAACTTCAAGAGGATGGCTCACTAGAGGACACTTTTCACCATCACATTGGTTTAAAGAGAATTGAGTCCTTTGCCCAGGCCTTCAGTGGCGTTCTTTGCCTTTTGAGGGAGTTTCCCTGTAACATTGAAGGGCACAAATCTGTGCCGTTGTTTTTGCTCAATGGACACCCACCAAACCGGGTCGAACATTCATCAAACCCGGGGTCATTTGAGCTGAAACTGTGCGCCGCACCGGGCATCACATCCGCTTCATTTCATATATGTGTGTGTGTGTTTTTTCTTTCGAATTGGTCCCCAAAAACGCCATAAGAGCAGACTGTTTTTACTAAAATGCTCTCCAAAAGCTGTTTGATGTCGACCCCGGATTGATAGGGTGTCCGCTTTGACTCGGAATTCCATCATTTTTTGGAGGGGACCGCCCTCCGTATCAGACCACCCCCCCGTATCAAATTGGAACGGGTTTACTCCGGGGTTCCCATGTCGAGCTGGGGCGGTGAGACCGACCGGGTCTCCGTTTCTTTTCTTCTTCTTTTTTGCGTGGGGTTGAAATTTCTGGGGCCGGCCGCACAAGTCACCCAGTCCGAAAAATCCGTGAGGTTGTCTCCAGCGCCTGACAAGGCGGGAGGGGGATGGATGCATTCCAGCACCGATTTGTCCAAGCGGAACCCTGATTCAACAGAGCAAACTGACCGGTGCCGTTGTTTGAAGAAGTACCAGGCATCCACACAGGCTCTTCAGTAGAACCCCGGGAAAGGTGTGTGTATCACAAGAAGCCCATAGGGGCCTATGCAAAACCGATACCCATTGCTACTGGCCTAGCCCGTATCCCTGACAAGGTTCAGGCCAAAAAGGTGCTTACCCTGACACAGCTTGGCCTTTTTGCCCAACTTCCCACCAGCTACCCGTGGGGGGACGTCATGTTCAACACACATTCAGTCACGGAGGCCGGTCTGCGTGCCGTAAGAAACACTCTTGCTTTTCGGATGGCTGCTGACGCTCCCCCACTTGGTGCTGATGAGAAACTAAGGTTTCTCTGGTCATAGCTTACAAGTCTTGCAACGTGCTTGGCCAAAGTGTTTGCACTCTTAGCTAGCAGCGATGCTCCGCTTCGCCTGCAGCAGTTGATGCTTGACCACTTAGCACAGCCGCAGTTTTGGGTGACTCTTACCATTGCCGCCCGGCAGCACGCCCAGCTTTTGCAAATGCCGACCACCATGGCGGAATTAGAAGCGGAAGCCGGCTTCTTGGGTCCGGGCGACTGGCCTTTGCACCTCCGATCCTTTGATATTATATAGCCTATTGCTGTCATTCAACCAGGACTAATCAACCCCTTGGCTGCCATGTGGTTGGATCTTCAGACTGTAGCCTGTTGGGATCCTGCTAAACAGATTTATTTAAACAAATACTAAACCTTTTGCCAGGGTGATTGAACCATCCAGAACCGCCATAAACCATTTTCATAGTTTCCCGCAAAACTGAAGGATTCCCTCCAAACTGGGACTCTGCCCCGGAAAATCATCCGGGGTAAATTGATCGATATCTATGTGCACTATCGTTCAATAAGGCCCTGGTTCAGTTGTTGAATAAATATGCACCATTTTTGAGCGGATTCTTTTACGCTTCCAGCAAAATGCCTTGATGGCGTTCGATGTTCATTTCTTGAAGCCACGGGACCCCTCTCTGGCTCCGCATTTGGCATTTGGGGGGTGCTGGGCAGGTCTTTTGACCTACGCGTTGCTATGGATGTGAAAAACACCCCCTAGATTCCCGAGGTTCGGTACATGTGTGGTTGGATGTGGGTCACAATACTTATGCAGCTTTTTTCCAAGTGGTGATATGGATTGGTGGTTTGGTGGTTAAGGGTCCCATCTACCCTCCACAAAAGCCAGAGATCCAAATCCAAACCACCAACTAGGGGTTACCTGACTTATAGGGCATTCACCCTAGTCCGTGTAAACCAGAATTGTCCCTTCCCCCTTCGTTTTGCCTCTTCAAAAAACGGGCCAAACCTCTGGGAAAAACCATGGTTTCCGCGGATAATGATGGGTGAAGAGTGGGGAATCAACCCTTAGATGCTTGGGTTGCCATGACTTTAGACACCCCAAATGGGTTAAAACTAAAACCCAACAGGAAAAGGGAAGTGCCCCACTGGACGTCTGCGCAGGGCGTCCAAAATTGTAGCCCCATGTCGCATCCTGGTAATGATGGGTATGCCGGCAGACTCTCATATATGAACTTAAGCCATTGATACCATTCTCCTGTAGAGAGAGAGAGAGAGTAGATAGCTGAGGGGACCACCCATTAAAAGCCAGAAGGAACATGGCAAAACAAATAAATAACTATTTTTTGAGAAGACAAGTGAAATACTTGCCCTCAAACTTACATGCGTTCATGAAACGTATATGCAAATCCATTTCACGCAGATGGTGCAAGTGCGGAAATGCGAGCAAGCAATGTCACTGCCAACAGAGGGCTCGGTTACCCATGCAGGAAATGAACAAATGGGCGTGTCTTGTTTTAAGGGCGCCCCATTTTTGATGGTTTCAAAGGGACACCAAAGGGTCACCAAAAGGACACCAAAGGAACACTGCCATTCTTGGGGTTGCCCCCGAGAAAAGACAGACCCAAATCAGAGCAATCAGGGACCGAAAAGGGTTTCCAACAAACGGGCGCCAGAGTGCACTAGCAACCCCACCCATTTAGGGCGGTGCCTTTTAGAGCAAAACGGTATTCCAGCACGGGTCCTGCTAGGGCGATCAAATTCATCCCAGAAGTTCAAAGTCAAAGAGCTCAAAGCTTCTCTCGCTCCTTTTGGCTTTTTTTGAAAACCATCCCAAAAGGGGTCCCTATTTTTGAGACAGAAGCTGCCAGGAGAGCCCAAAGGAGAAGGTGGTGAGCGTAAGGTTCCGCACCAACAGCATTGAGGCGCGCGGTTTTTTTTTGGCTGTGACAGGGTGGTATATCTCTAGGGGTTGATTCCTTGCCCATTCTTTTCAACCATCGTTCTTTTCAAAAACCGGATCTGTTTCCCCTGGGTTTTTGGATGGTTTCCTGAAAAGAAATTCGGATCCCTGGGTTCAGAACGGACCTGGAAGGTACTTTTGGAAGATCTGCCCTTCAATACAGGTCTGGCTTCCAGGACCGCCGTCTTGGCGCCATTTTTTTGGGGGGGGTCCCGCCCAAAAAGAGACATCTGCCGAGCGAGCCATGGGTCAGATCTTGGACCAAGGGACTCGCTCTCGCCTTTCTTGGGGCTCCACGGATCTACAGTTGGACGACGAGGTCGCCCAGCGATTGGGGCCGTTTCTTTTTTTTGGGGGGGAGGAAACCCCCCTACTAAAAGAGACAACACCGAAAAAGTTGGTAATTACCCTGATTCTAAGCCCTCAAGTCTGGACCTAGTTGTATCTTCGAGACAAGCTGGACTCGCAACATGTCCCCCAACCAAATCCAGGGCGGTTTCTTGTGGACAAATGGGCGGAGCCCCTGGCACTTTCTCAGCCTTTTGGAGGCTGATCGAAAAACCCCCCGAACTGTGGATGGCTGCGAAATCCACTTCGCACCACCCAGGAAACCCAAGGGAATGATGCGATTCCCCTGCAAATACCAACAAACGTTATGGTTTCCCTGGTTTCAAAGTGGTGCGAAATGGATTTCGCAACCATCCACAGTATTGTTGGTTTCCTCTTGGCTTCCCTTGAACACCAAGGGTCCCCCCAAAAAGGACGCACTCACATTGACAGCCCAGACAAGGTCGTATTGCACAGCCAGGAGGGACAAAAAGGCCACACGCAGCTTGTTCTGAATCTTGCAGCAAATCACGTGAAATTATGGTTTCTCGCCCAGTGTTCACGGGGGGGTATTTTAGGGGGGATTGGGATGTTCACTGTACGGGGTTTTGACCCCTGGCCATCTGGGCAAACTATATTTCACCGACCGAAAATCAGGGACCCCCAGATGTTCACTGGTGGTACGGGACTTTGAACCATGGCCAGACGTCTTTGGGCACGAACAAAACCCCCAACAAAACTTGGCCATGGGTCATATGCCTCCATTTTGGGGCGGAACGCCCATGTACCACCTATTTTTTTATATTTGTTGATCAGTTTTTTTTGGGGTTTTGACCACCACAGGTCCCAAATGGCCTGGGCCGAGCAGCGACCCCTTGCCCTTTGGCCCGAGCGCAAGGCTCCCTCCGAGTCCTCCAGCACTCTGACGGCGCAGAGCGGCGCCTGGGCGGGGTTTTCCGTACCGGGTGTGAGAGACCAACCGAGCGACACGTCACAGACGCCGGAACCGTTTTTTTGGGGGGGAACTAGAATTGGTTTCCAGGGAGGCCATCCGGTTCCTTAGCCTTTTAGCTTGAAATTTAACACGCTAAAAAAGTGAAGCTTTTTGCGGGGGATCTGCAGACAGCCCACAAAAGCAACACAACAGATGCCGCTTGTTGGGGACCCTTTATTAGCCGGAATCATTCTCGCCCCTGGTTGAGAAAGATAGGGGTGTTTCCTATTGTTAGGGCGAATCCTTCACCTTTTTTCGTTTTTTGAGTGGAGAGTCGATTCTAGGGGTACGGTGGACGCCCCAACCATCTTGCCACCATACTCGATCACGGGGTGTCCTTGTTTCCTTATGCGCAATATTTGAGGCATCCACCGAAATTCGCCTTGCTGCGTTGCCCCCATTTCACCACCAAAAAAAGGACACCTACAGGGAAAAGCAGGGTCTAGGGGTTGATTCCACCGGCCTAGTTCAACCTCTAGGGGTTGATTCCCCATTCTTTTCAACCATCGTTCTTTTCAAAAAGTCAGCTGTTTTCCCTGGGTTTCCGGAGGTTTTATAGAAAGAAGGATCCCTGGAAAGAATGGGGAAGGTACCCCTGGACAACCGGGTTATACCTGCCATGTGGCATGGCCAAGAAGCAAGGGACAAATTTCCCCGCCAGAGAAATCCTCCGTAAGCCTAAGGGCAAGCGGAGAAACTGGCGGACTTCCTGTGGATGGCGACGCGAAATCCGATTCGCAACGCACCACCCAGGAAACCCAAGGAAATGATTCGATTCTGCAAATACCAACCAACGTTATGGTTTCAACCATGGTTTCCAAGTGGTGCGAATCGGATTTCGCAACCATCCACAGTGGCGAGGACGGCCCCAAATCGTCCTAAAAAAGCAGCGAACTCACCCCGAGAAACATGTAGTGTTCTCACATCCCTTGTTTTTTCCCTTGTTTTTCTTTGGGTAACTGTCTGGAAAGTGAAACAGGGGCCACGTTCCCCCCCCAAAAAAGAAAGACAAGAGGAAGAAGACAAGTGGAGGGTTTCCTCTAAATTAGAACATTGCCAAAAGAACTCAGTTTGGACCAACATCTAAACATGTCATTTTCGGTTGCAGCTTCGGGCCCCTAAATCATGTAGTTGAACCATGCCACAGAGAGCTTCTTTTTGCGAGTGCAACATCTGGATGATGGTTCCAAAACCTATATGCAATCTTCCCTGTAGGATGTGAGATTGGTTCACCGATTTTGCAGCACCAGCTCACCGAATCATTTCCTGATGCAACGGCGGTTCACATTCCCTGGCGGTTCCCAGCCATTGCCCTTTCAGACTAGTGTTTAGATGGGTTTATGAGAAAGCCACTCAGAGTCCAACTTGGTGAGGCAACGAATCATGATGAGAAGTGAGTGTGTCTCAAACAAAAGAAGGTAACCCCAAAATGGATGGTTTTCGTCTGGTTTCCTTTTAAACCGCCCCTAAAAGGGTGCCATCAAAAGCTTTGAACTGTGAGCAAGGTATCAGCAACCCTGGTGGCCTTTTTGACCCAGGTCACACGGGATACACCCTGAAATCCACGCACCCATATGTTCACTACAGGTTTTAAGCAGCATCTTTTGGCTGCACAGCAACCGTTTTTCTTTTTGGTGGGATGTTTGGACATCTTGGCGCAGCCCTTTTGGTCTCAACTCACCGTTCTCTGACAGTTTTTGATGCGTCTGCTTTTGGATGCCTTTTTGGCTGGTTTCAAGGGACACCAAAAGGAACACATGTTGTTTTGGAGGGTTCGCTTTGTTGTGACAGAGACCATCGGTTTGCGCTCTTTGGAGGCCCTTTGAACCAGCACGACTCACTTGCAGGTCGTCTGGGCAAACAAACATGTGACTCGAAGCAGTGTTCAGGGATCCCTCTCTCCGGTTTTGACCTATGGCTTTTTCAACTGGAAACCACAAGTCCATTGCAACTGTCAAGGGGAATCCGGTGACCCCAGTTTCCACACGCAATGTGCCATGGTCAATACCCCGGTTGCTCTACTGGGGGAACCTCTTACATAGCACTTAGACAACCAAAGGGTTTTCTACGGGATATGACCCTCAAAAGAAGTTTGACCATGCCATGGCACACACACACACACGCAGATAGAAGCTTTTGTCAGAGGTGTAGTGTGATAGTTGGTTGCTGTGTCACTTGGGTGCGATTGTATGGTTTTCTTTGATTCCAGAGGTGCTTCAAAATGATCCCCACAAGCAGACCACGATGTTGTTATTTGTTTTCTTCTTGAGACACACCCTGTGGTGCATGCACTGCTTCTTTGTGCTCAGCAATTGTGAGGTGAGACGATGGACGACGCTCCTTGGTCGCGCCAAGTTTCGCAGACCTCCAATGGGGGTTCCCTTTAAAATGAAGCACTTAATTCTACGGTTGATTCATTCTAAAGGGACTTATTCATTTTCAACAACAGGCGATTTCATTATGTTTTTCAGATGGTTCTAGGGGTTGATTCCGAATCCCCATTCTTTCCAACCATCCTTCTTTTCAAAAACCGGATCCGTTTCCAACTGGGTTTCCGGAGGTGTTCTAGAAAGAAGGATCCCTGGAAAGAATGGGGAAGATAGCACTAGATTAGTGTTGAACGCAAATCATGCAAAATTGAAAAATGGTCTACACTGTGTGGTCAGCAGGTAGCGGGAACCCCATATTAATCAACACCAGTTTATTGATAGGGTGTCCCTGGGTTTAGTGGGGAATCATCACTCTTGGAGGGGCATGCCCTTTATTGATAAACCGGGGTTGATTTATACGGGGTGCTTGTCTCCATGCTCGCCCTGGGATCTGAAAAAGACCTCATTGAAAGAATGGCTATGTGTCGAAATACTGTGGGGATTGGGATGTTCACTGGGGGTACGATTTGGATTTTGCCCGTGGCCATATATGTAAATTGAACATGAGAAGGGCACCCCTAAAATGCACGCTCAGATCACCGAGCTCCTGCCATTCTCCGTGAAAATGTGCATCAAGTTTGGTCGTCGAAACTAGAGAGCCATGCTGATTCCCGATTCATGGCTTGGGGTAAGCTGAGCTGTGACTGAATTCACGAGGATTTGGTTTGTGACTCGATTCCACCGAATTTGCCCATCCGGTTTCTTTCTTAGCATTTTTCATATTCCAGGTTGGGGGAAGTCTAGCCATTTGGCCGAGAACTAGGTTGTCGTCGCCCCACGGCCTCCGAAAACGACGTCGAATTTTCGCGAGCCATGCGTTTGGTGGTAGGGTATCCACAAGAAATTTCAATAGCAACCTGAGTTGCGGTTTGGCGTTTCGGCAAAAGACCACACCAAGAGTTTTCAAGCAGCTCCACCTTCTCCAGCGATTCCATTTCTCTGAAGAGGGCAACTAAGGGACCCCATTCGGGAAACTCTCCGGGACACTGGCTGGATCCCCTATCCGTCCCGGCTAGCTGAATGATCCGGTGTATATTGAATGTGCAGAATTTAAGACATGATTTGAGTCAGCATGAGAAGTTTGGCAAGGGGGGGTCATGCGGATGGCACAAATGCGGACGGGAGAGGAGTAGTCTAACTGATTGACCCCCCTCCCTTTTTATCTCGCACAGAAGCCGGCCGTTCAGCCGTTTCTTCGACCGGAGGCGATGTCGGTGGTGAGTTCTGCGCTGGCGGCGGCGGTGGTGCGGCGGGACCGGCGCAAAAAACGCGAAAACATCGCCTCGTCTTTCTCGCCTTGCCGTAGGCGATGTGATCTTCCAGTTGGGCCAACGCTTAATAGCATCTCATATGATGGACGAAAGTCGCTTCGCACCAGTTGGGATGGAGGAAACCCGAGTTGAATATGGGAATTAACCACTTAGCAACTGGTGCAGGATTTTGTCCATCCACAGTACTAAAGTTATGGCAGATAGATTTTAGTCCGGTTTAAGAACGTTAGGCAAGGATGTGTTATTTCCCCCCTGTTGGGTTTACAAGGAATCCATCGCTACTGTCTTTTTCCAGTCGACGTAAGCAAATGGAGGCTATGAATTTTAACGGGGAATCACCTCAAAAGTGGTTGGTGGACATGGATCCCACCTAAATAATGCTCGCCCCCGCGATGTGTGAATAATTATAAGTTGTCCAGAAGAAATCCAGGGGTTATGATTTTCTAGCCTTAAGGTTATCAAAGTCAGAAAATTGGGTTGTTTCCCTTTGAACGGACCACTTGGGTGACTTTGATGGGACACAATAATGGGCCTGCAATTCTAGGGGTTGATTTCCTCCATTATTTTCAACAATCACAGAAGCTAACTGGAGGGTTTTGGAAGGCTTTTTCCTTCTGGGGAGGCCCTTTCGATTTTCCCTTCGTCTGAGATAGGCTGCGACGCTCCCAATGCATTTCGGCAATCCGGTGTTTCGAGTTTGTTTGTACTCACTCCAAATTCAGTTTTGGAGTGCCATGTTTATTTGTACGCGAGCAAAGCTACGTTTCTTTCTGTGGGTGGTGTTTTGTATTACGCACTCTGTTGGAGCATGGAGAATGGAGACCAAGATTGAGATGTGATTTGTCCCAAAAACATGTGCTGCAAACTTTCCAAATTACATCCCCAGTGGGCTGTCCCTGAACATGCACGCACTGTTTTAGTTAGTATAACTTGAACATAACATGGTAAATGCCTCTATCGCAAATCCCAACAGGCGCGAACCCACGAAAACAAAATCGCTTGAACATCCTTGCCCATCAGAATCTCAAGCTGTTTGGTTCGAATACGAAGTTGTTTTACTGGTTGATCCTCCAAATCCATCCTCCCCAGCGAGTATGTTCATGAGCCGTACCTTTGCGCTAGGACTCGAGCCTTCCATTTGCTTAAGAATATGTGTTATTTTTCCCTTGTTGGTTTTAAAGGGAATCTATCACTACCGGAAATATTTCAACTTCTTCCCGGGGGCTTAAGCAAATGGAAGGAGCTTCATGAGCCGTACCTTTGCGCTAGGACTCGAGCTGAGAAGAAGTGAGTGGCTAGCCGACGGCGAAGAGCGCCTGGTCGGGACGATCGATGAATCTTTCTCCACGCGATGTGAGCTCGGAGGGATTTGGGCCGTCGGATGGACTTGCCTTTTGGCCCTCCTTTTGGTAAAGGGGTTGTGCGGATGCATTGCAAGCTGACAGGCCCTGCGAAAATGATCCTTCCGCTCGTGTGCGGAGCCAGGATGTAGGGATTTAGGCCCACCTAAAAGGTGCAGCTTAGATGAAGTTGGATCGTGTCCGGAGCGGGCGGGAGGTTGCGAAAAACCATTCGTGGACAAAGCGTCACAGTTTCTTTCTTTCCCAACTTGCTCTCCTAACTGAAGCTGACAGAGTGCTGGAGGCCTACTCTCCTTTGGAGAAATTGGTTCTTATTGCCAGCCGTGGCCGACAGGTCAGTCATCACATTTACGTCCGCTTGTCGTTTAGCGGGAACCCACCACTTGTCCAGACGAGAATGGCTTATCCACCGCATTCGTCGCCTGATGACCAAAGGTGGCTGGCCACCTGGTAGCAAATTGGTCTGCCTTCCATTCCCATAGGGTTTCTTGGTACCTCAGGATGGGGTGAAATGGGGGTCCTTGGGGTACCTCCCTGGGTACCAAGGGACATTTCTGGGATTGAAACCTGCAGTTTCCCAGGCACCAAATGGCACCAACTTATGCTGATCGGGTCTCAGTCGCCCGGACTCCCGACTCCGGACCAACGGAATTTCCCCCCGGAAGCTTCGGGGCGAAATGCTTCGGAGCAAGCAGTTGCCAGCAAGTAGACAGAAGGATTGTTGTATTCACATACAGTAGCATGTTTGTCTATGTCTCGTTTCTGAGCTGCAGGCTTTAAGTTTTCGTTTGCTCCGTTTTGTGTTACCTGTCATCTCTCTTGGCTACGTTGTTTTCCGCGCGGGCAAGTTCAAAACCCAGCTCTTTTTTCTCAGCCGCTCGAAGAGGGGCGGAGAGTCTTACAATTATTGAGACTGATGCTCGGGGACAAAAGGTCTCACGATTCGGGCGGTTCGGTTCATTCACGACCGTCGACCTGCCTGCTTTGCCTTCGGTTTGGAGGGATGCCGGAAGGCAAGCAAGTCGGAAACTATTTAGGAAGTCGATTTTCAGGGGTTCCCTTTGAAGTCGACGAGAAAGAAGAGGGCCGCTTTTTCAGCCCACCAGACCGGGGTTTGGGTTCAAACAGTTTGGGTTTCTCAAAGTTGGTCCCAAAACCAAACACAGGCTTCGAATTGGGTTTCCTTCAACTACCAACCAACAGGGGGGTTCGTGAATTTGAGAAGCTCCCAAAGAGTTGGTGTCTCACAGGTTCGGTTGCAATCACTCGTCTATGGTTCTGTTGGGATTGGTCATTCTTAGTGGGATCATGGGTAACCGCCGGAATTCTTGTGGTGAATCTCTTGAGCTATGTCCCGAACCTCCGACGAAGCATAGACTCCTGGGCATTTTGCCCGAACCTTTGAAGCTTGATGGATGTGTGATAAGCACCCTTTAGAGAGTTAGCCTAAAGGGAAACCACACGGAAACGGGAATGTGGGAATGAACTCAGGGGTCCCCTTAAAGGAAACCACCAGCAAGGGATGGTTATGGGTCATTCATTCTTTCTCATTCCCTACATCTCTCGCACTGATTGCAAGAATCGTCCCCCGCACTTCGTCACCATCCCAATAGCTTTTCAGGTTTGTAGGAAGTTTTAGTGTCCGTTTCCCCCAAATTCACAGAGCAAAATACCTGTATACTCACCCTTGCTACAGCAGGTCCTACGTTCCCCAAAAGTTAAGTTGAATTCTTCGCTTACCCTCCCACCAGCTAACATGGAAGTGCACAGACGCCTCTAAAAAGACGACTTTCCTCTTGGTGAGTTGGCCTTTTTGCACTTCCGTGTGGGTATGGCTCAAAAAAACGGTACCAAAATGGAACCCTGGTGGGTGGAAACATGGACCAAAAGCTGCGTAACCCTAGCTGTTTGCCACTTCCATGTTAGCTGGTGGGAGGGGTTTGCCCACTCCGAAACAAATCTCCAGGCGCGCAGCGAGGCGCAGCTATCGGAGGAGAGCGCCGCGCAGCTCCGTAGCAAGCTGACGGAGAGCGGCTCGGCGAGCCGGCTGGGGGAGGGGGGGTGGGGTGAGGGGGGTGGGTTGGGTGGGGTGAGGGGGGTGGGGGAGGAGTTTTTTCATTCGCAGCGCCCCCCAAACCCAAGGGGGTCGGTTTTAGGAGGTGCTTGTTTTAGAAGGGCCATTTTGGTTCAAGTTATCTAGTAGGAGTTGATGTCCCATTCTCTTCACAACTGTTCATAAACAGAGTTTCGAAACCTGGGTTCCGAGCAAGTTTTCAAAGTGAAGAATCCATGAACAAAACGGGGAGGGTATTGCTAGAAAGTTGGTGTCTGGTCGATGATTATCAGACTTGGCTCAAAATCAATGGTGGCAACGATGAGTTGTGCCGTTTGGGGGGGAGGAGGGGTTAATTCAAAGTAGGTGTGAGCCAACACAACCACCTGGGGGTAACTCAAGGTTAGGTAAGGCATAGTCCCAAAAACAAATGGGTGTGGCTCAAAACACGCGATCACTTTCGGATGTTGCGTCACCTGCCTGTGAGTTTTCTGGAGTTGATCTTATTTTCTAGGTTGATTGAAAGGGAAACCAAGAGAAAGCCTATCTTGACACATACCTGATTTCCACCAACTTGTTAATTCTTGAGTTCCTGGACTTTGAACCTTCTGGGAAGACCATCTTAGTGGCAAACAAAAAAGAATAGGACTTGTTTTTGCCCACTTCCTTCCTGGGACCTCTGTTGAATTGATTTTACAAAACGGGAGGTTCACTAAACGGACGGTCGAATCCCACGCACTATGTTGGCAACAGCTGAGGAAAGTAGGGTCCATTGTGCCAGCACGTTCAAGAACGTAGCTGTCACAGTGGTCTCTTTTTTTCATTTGCGGATAGTTGGGCAAACCATAGCACCGTTGATTCAAAGCAATCCTTTGCATTTGGGAATCAGCTAGGGTTTTTCTTTTAAATTATATAGTTAAACAGTTTCTGTAGTGATTATAATTTTATTATTATTGTTGTTAGTATCATCACTATCAATATGTCTATTATTCTTATTGTTATCATTGGTAATGTTATTATTGTTACTCTTATTATTATTGTCATTATTATTGTTATTATTATATTTTTACTATTATTATTATTGTTATTATTATTACTATTATTATTACTATTACCATTGTTATTATTATTGTTATTAATATTATTATTATTTTTACTATTATCATTATTATTATTATTGTTATTATTATTACTATTATTATTATTAATATGATTATTGTTATTATTATTATCATTATTTAGTAGAAGTTAAAGCAAACATAGTAAGTACCACCGGTTGGATGGTCACTTGGCCTTGCGGGCCTAAGGCGAGGCTTACTGCCGGTGCTTTTTGGTTTGACATTGACACGGCTGCTCAAAACACCGGAGTTCCACAATGGGTTGCCCGATCGGTAAGTGGAAACATTGACGATTTAACCTGGGGTTTGCCCCTCCGATCGTTTGAATTTGAGCCACGCCCACACCCTTTTCCCCAATTCCTTTAAAAGGATTTGGCCCGGGGGGAGGGGGGGGTCGACCTCTGGAGATCTCCATGGGTTCCCTTCTTTTTTGGAAGGCTTGTCGAATGGGATTGGACTCATTTCCGCAACCCTTCCCTGAAGGTGTGCAGATCCATGTTACCTGTCGGAACCCAACAAAAGACTTCCATTTGCTTAAGAATATTCTTTATTTTCCCCTGTTGGTTTGAAAAGGAATCGATCACTACTGCAAGTATTGTTATTTTTCCACTGGCTTGAGCAAATGAAAGAAGATCATGTTTGGAGTGGAGGAAGCTTTTGGGAAATCCAACTTTCGGGTTCGAGGGTCATATGGGTGTCTCAGTGCTTGAAACAAAGTGCGACTGGTTTGTTTGAAAGGAACCCCGCAGAAAACTGACGCCCATTTTGGAGATCCCTTCACTTTGCCCTTCACTTTGAGTCGACTTAGCAGTGTCAATGGGTTAAAAAGAAACGCTACCATTCTAGGGGTACCTTCCCCATTCTTTCGAGGGATCCTTCTTTCTAGAAAACCTCCGGAAATTCAGGGAAAACGGATCCGGTTTTTGGAAAGAACCATGGTTGAAAAGAATGGACAAGGAATCAGCCCTTAGAGCCATAGGTTTTTTTTTCTTGAAGCGTATGTCCGACCTGATTCCCAGTCCGAGCTCCGCTTCACGAAGCCTGAAATGCGATGTTGAGTTGTATCTAGTTTTGGGGTTTGGGCTTGACATTCTCATTTCAGGTTTTTGTTTCTGTGGTCGAAATCCATTTCGCACCTAAGAAGCCCAACGGAATGAGTCAGAGTGGAGGTTTCGTCCATGGGACCACAATATGACTTCATGCCTGCGCGAAGGTTGTGTTGGCCTACACGTTTATTACTCCCTTACCACCTTTGGAAACATGGGATTGGTTTGAACTGTGTTTGCAGATCTGGTGTTTGAGGCAGGGCTGTTCAAAATGGACTGCTTGCGAATCTGCATTTGCGATCCCTATTGAGAAACAACTGCGAAGCGGACCAAATGGGTGTGTCGTTTTGTTTTTTTCCTGAACCCCCTCCCCGCCCTAAACACAAATTGTACTTTTTCTTTTGGGTTTCCCTTTTAAACCGACCAGCAAAGGGTACCCTCAAGAACAAGACACAAGACACACCCCATGCGGGTGTGGTTGTGTGGATTGCGCATTCGCGCGTGAGGTCTTAAGTGGCAGAAGTACGATCCCTTCGCGGAGCGCTACTCTGAGAGGCCGTCCTCGCCTTCGATTCCGAACCCCGAAAAGGCTTGGGGCCAACTTTGAAGAGGTTGATGGATTTCTTCTTTCTACAGACATCATGTTTCCTTTCTAGGGAATTGTTCAGTGGGGAGTTCAGCTTACAGTTTTCAGGGACTTTGGGGTTCCTCTTAGGTAAAAAGCATCGGAGAGCTGCAGGTTTTTCGGCACCTGAAGGTTCCAAGACTCGGAGCCCGAAATCAGAAGCCCCGAAGGTTCGGCGGTGCCCAAAGCCTTGTGATGCTCGATGAA